AATACTGTGGATGTAGTAACCATCTCTATCGAAATGGTAATTCTACCCTCTTTACAACCTTTTATATAACTTGCTCTGTAAGTATGTTTTTTAGAATCAATTGTTGAACACCTTCCCAATGACAATGCAGTAGGAAAGATGAGTTTATCCGATAGGTGGCTCGGGAGTCGAGATATTTAGAGTCTGATTTTGTTCTTATTTAGAACGTATGTATTTGCATATATTAGCTACATGAAAAGGAATAACTCGACTAAAAAAATTTGCCGTTAGGTGGCGCACGAGTGGTTATATTTGATAAACCATTATTGATTGTCCTATTTCGTTCATATTTAGAAAGCTTGCTTTAAAAATATTTGTTTTTAACTACTAACTTATTTCAAATGGGTCCGCATGGGTCTGTAGAATGGTTAAAGGTGGGAGAGATTACTTTTTTCAAGTTACCAACATTTCCCGTTTCTGTGTGTAGAAATGTGGTACTGTGATAATATGACCAAACACTGCCCCGATATAGATACATAGTTACATTACAAAATATGGGGCCTTTTCTCTAACTATTTCAAGTCAAGTTTTTCTAAGAGCGCTCGCCCCTCGGCAGGCAAAGGCAATGCCAAACTCTTAGCAAAAGTGTAAGCGCAAAAATATTATGATTCATATCAAGTCATACATATGTATGTAAGTATGTCATTATATAAAAATTTAATTTTCAGGCGTTTGATCAGCATCTGAATATGGTACTTGGTGATGCAGAGGAAACAGTAACCACTGTAGAAATAGATGAGGAAACCTATGAAGAAGTATATAAAACAACCAAACGTACGATACCGATGCTGTTTGTGCGTGGTGATGGTGTTATTTTGGTATCGCCACCTATGAGAGTGGGCTAAAAAAAACCGCTTTAATATTTAAAGCAAATAAATTGTTAATTAAAAAAATTATGTCAGTATAAATAAATATATGTGCGCTAAAAATTTTATTTGCTTTTATTTATAACTAAAACCATGATACAATTTTAATTTTCCTTAACATACCTAATTAATTTGCTAA